TCTCTCTCTCACTCACCACACACACGCACACACACTACCGGGTCTGGGCGATGAAACTTTCCGAAATCACAAAAAAATTTCCCCTACCGGGTCTGTATACTTCGTGACTTTGTTCCCGGTTACCAGGCCTGTAAGCCTGTAAGCACTTCGATATATTAGAACGCAGTTTAGTTTATATGTTATGCAACTTAGTCCTGGCCCTTGGTAAGAATTTGAGTCTAATAAAAACTGTCATTTTCATAAATCTGATGTTAAGGATTCGACTGATAGACAGGTGATTTGACAAGTGTGGTGGTATAGGAACTCTCAGTATAGTACCAGAACATTTTGTACTTTCACTTCAACTAAAAAAGCGATTCTGAGTATGAATGGGGCTCCATGCACGGTATGTTAGAATTTAATAAGTTAAGAACTTCAGTTTTAGTCCTAAATGTCAAAATATTTTTGGAGCTTTGTAAAGAGTAACTGTCTCGTACACTTGCAAACTTGGTGTAAGACGTTATCGTTATTGATATTTCGATCCTTTCAACTGACTTTCCTGTCTAGTTTATGATATATCTGTTTTTTAAAATTGATTTTCAGGTTTGTAGATAGTTTGCTCCTTGAATTTTGTAAGGTTTCAGATCTACAAACAAAATCATTAGAGCTCATAATGAAACAAATAATAATTTAATGGCATTGCTCTCCCACAGCGGTAATCCGTCTAGATATGCCGGCCGGGATGTGGTGCGGATGTCTCGGGGTGGTGCTGCAGGGGTCAAACGAGGTCACGCCCAAGACGGAGAAGACTGTGAGGAGACGGAGGGAGAGAAGCATCTGAAGACTATGCTGCATCATCAGTTGCAGACAGACATTACTGTCTCTAAGTAGGTGGTATCCAGCAGGGTAACGTTTTTGCCTTTCCTTAGTCTAATAATTTCTTAATGGGTTTTTTTTTTCAGCTGTATGAATTGTTTTGAACTCCACACTGTGCAGCCTCTCAATAAAGACATCGTCGGGACCAGAAGAAAATGTCGTTATAGAGAGGCAACAAAAAAATACATTTGACAGGCCTATATTTTAAAAAAATGGGATCTGGGGACCATGTCACTATACAGAGGATGTCGTTATATCGTAGGTCGTTATAAATTATAGAGAGGTTGCACTGTATTTTCATGCTGATAGGAAAGTCCTTGGGGCAAAAATCTCTTCTGTCTGATTTGTGCAAATCTTATCGAATTGATTAAGCAATAAACATGGGGGCTGTAGGTGGTAATTGTGTCGCAGTCTGCTACATGTCCTTCATTTCAGTGTTACTCCGAACTATTGTTACTGGCTTTATGTCGTCTGGTTTTTCTCTGTCTAGTCACTTCCAGAGGCTCATTATAACTCTCAGAGAGATGACCAATTGGCTGAAGTGATAATGAACATCTCTTTTTTCCTTCCTTTTCGGTTTCTCATTCTGTCTTTTCTATGTTGCTGTTTCTGAAAATTAAATGACCTCTTCACTGTTTTAAATGACTATATTGCCAAACTATGTACCATGTCACCATTCTAAATTCCTCACGCTACTGTTCTTATAGAGCTGTAACTGATATCAGTAAACAAACAAATTCACAGACAGTTTTCAAAACACCGTGATTTCACACCTGCGACGTCCCATGCCCCTGAGGTGGAAAAACTCGAGGGAGTTCACAAACTTGACCATTACCGAGTTGTGGAAGCCACAGATGCGCAAATTGATGAACTACGACACTGTGGACTTACAGATGAAGAGATTGCACTCAAGCTGGCCCATGATATGAAGGATGAGGTTGTTGTTTTGCGGAATATATTTTATAACAGTTGTGAAAATAGAATGAGAGCAACAGAAATGTGGTTTCTTAGGAAACTCCTGAGATTTTCATGGACTAAAAAAGAAATAAAATGAGTAATTCAGTAAGTAATGAAAGAAGCGCAAGTGGGCTACTCACTAGTGAGAATAAATAGGAAGCAACGAATATGTTTGCGGGGATACTTGACTCGACATAAATGCTTTGAACATCTTGCTCCTACTGGAAAAATAGAAGGCAAGTGAGGCAGGGGCAGACCCAAAAAAACTTATTTGAAAAAACAGAACAGATAAGTGATGGGGAAGCACTAGGATAACGTGGGTTTTTTAAAAAATAGCATCCAAGTGGAGAAGTGACTGGAGGACCATAATCGCAGATGTCTGTTTTAGATCTGGCCCTTTATGAGGGTGATTACAATGCCCACTTGGGCTATGTGAGTGGGTTCTATGCTTTTTACTATTGATGACTAGATCTAAACGATCTATGAGTTCTGTCCTTTTTAAAGCAATGGTCATGAAGTCTGTAAGTCTCTTCCACACTTTATAATATGTTGTGATGGCAAGATCAGATTGGATGCATCAAAGAGCTTCACGTATTTTATCAAGACAAGACAGCCATATGTTATTCATGATATGTTATATGGACTATTTTAGTTTTTAGTAGGTTCCACACCTATTGATACAGTAATAGTTGAGGGGGGGGGGGGGGGTTAACCCTTGAAAAGATTGTTGTATGAATTGTTTTGATTGTCAGCTTATATACATGGTGTTCAAAATGGATGCTATTGTTTTGAAGCAGAAGCATGAAGTGTAAGACCAGCGTTAATGGTGAGCTTGTGATCTCTATAGTAATGCAAGTGAACTGTGTGAATAATTAGTTACACTGCTGTCAGAGAATGAAGCACATACTCATAAAGTTTAGTACATACTTACAAAGAGTAGCACAAGCTCATACATTGTAGTACTCACTCTCAAAATGTGTTTGTTTTCCATCCGCAGCTCGGGTTTTCATCAAAAGGTTACGGGACTGACCCGGAGGTCATACAGTCAAGATTGAGGGAGATCAAGGAGAAGATTGCGGAGAAGCAGAGATGCCTCTCTCAGCCAGACACGTTCAAAGGAGCCCTCGAGCTGAGTCGCCAGGCAATGGATATCAACAAATCTCTGGCGCAGCGACAAGGGGGTGGTGAGGGGGCGGACGTTCTGAATGTGATCACCACACAGAAGAAGTTTGCGGCAACGCACCCAGATGACCCCGTGAACCACATTCCTGAAATGATGAATGAGTTGGAGGGGAAGGTAGAGAGGGAACCTCGAAGAGAGAGGAGGAGAAGGAGGAAGATGGAGAGAAGGAGACAGTATTATGAACGCTTAGAGGTAGTGGAGGAAAATTCTGAATCTGAAGGTGATGAGGTTGATGAATCTCTGTCTGACCTTGTTGAAATAAGAACTGCAGTTACGGAGAAAGATGACGCGGTCGTCAGTCCGTTAGCTTCTGAGATATTGCTGGAGCAGGAGGGGAAGGAGAGAGACCCTCTGTCGTCTCCCTCTAGCTGTCCAGGCGTTACAGAAAGACAAACACTCGATGTAGAAGGACAGAAGCCTGGTGGAGATAATGTATGTGAGGAGAAGTCTTTGAGGCAGATTTGTACGAGTAGACCCGTGTTGACAGAAGATGACATTGCAGCCAGTCGGCTGACTCTTGAAGAAATAAAACAGATGGACAAGTTCCAGAATTATTCGGTTGGAGAACCAAGTAAGGTACGTTGATGACACTGTATGTCCTGTGGTATGCTGCTACATGGCATATGAATGAAACGTAAGAGCTCACTTCTCTTCCACAGTTTTGTTCTAACTAATGGTTTGACAAAATATGGGCTTTCCTTTAGCTCATTTGGTATCACGCTGGACAACAAAACAGATTGCGCAGTTCAAATCCCAGACTGGGTGTTCTTGAGCTTATGTTGTTAGTCTAATTTTCAAGGCACTCTACCCATTTGGCTTGGTCCTATCGGAGAAAGACATTGATTAAATTAGGAGTCCCCGCCTCTTAAATAACCAAGTAGTGTTGATAGAGGTGTTAAACCCATACTCTTTACTTTTTTTAACTGACAAAATATGGCGTGTGCATGTTGAAGCAGACACTTTCACCTCTACTGTTTATGACATGGAGAAATACCACCTCTGTGTCCTGTGTAGAAAAAGTAGTTGCAGTAGTATAGATCTAGTTAAAGAAAATTTCTCAGTCGTTCTGGATGTCGAAACTTAACTCTCTGTGTCAGAACCGAGTATGTTGTCAGCAATTATGACAGGCTGATGGGTATTGTGCAGGTCGTTTCCTGTGTCTTTGTTAAGGAAATAGCACTGTAAATTACTAATATGAGCCTACTCTGTCAAAAATTTTTTTAAAGGCCTTAGGCTTGAACTATTTCTTTCAGACTGGCTTTTAATATGTACCTTTTTTTATATAACTGCCAGGTTGTGTATGTGAAAAACCTTCCAGCACAGACAAAGGAAGAGGACCTCCTCTCTCTGTTTGGACTCTTCCAGAAGGCAGATGGGCCAAAGGTCATCTTCAAGTTGTTGACCGGCCGAATGAGAGGCCAGGCATTCATCACATTTCCTGGTAAATTGCATGGTTATCTCTGCATTTCTTTCTATAGATTTAACCTACGATCTCATTTTGAAATTAGTTAAAAGTGGCAACAAACTTCTAAGTTTGATTTTTAAAATTTGTTATATTTGGCGTGATTGCGGGGAAAAAACATGAGGTTAGGGTATTTTTTAGTATTTACTCATTCATCTAATAAATGTCTTGGGCCATTTTCACAAAGAGCTGACAATATGTGAAGATTTTTACTGTGAATCAGTATAGCTTGTCGTGTTGATAGTTATTGTCTGAAAATGTGTGAAGACTAGTACAGAGCATTCAAGAGCTGTTGTTTGGATAGTTGTCATAAGATTAATGCTGAGACTTACAAACTTTTTGAGTGCAAATATGATCAGTCTATTGGTGTCCCCTTCTTTTCACAGACGAAATTGTGGCTGGGAGAGCTATTGATCTGGTCAACGGGTACAAGCTGAAGGGTCAGCCTGTGATACTGAGCTATGGCAAACGACGGGACTGACCACTCAGGAAGGGCCCAGAAAGATTTTTAAAAATCTTTTTGCATTTTGTCATGCAAGAATGATTCCTGACTGACTGAACTGGATTCAACGTTACGTCTTTTGGAATGACACTTACCATGACTATTTCACCGTGCTCCGATTGTTTACTGGGTACAGGCATTCCCTTGCCGGTCAGCCTCCTTCAACCAGTGTCTGTGGTGTGCAGCGGTTAGGCACCTTGTTGTCACATGCAGGAGACTCGACTTCAATTCCCAAGTGTGGAGAAATTTGTTTCCAGCATCTTAGTCTTTGTGCTGGGGATGCTGTGTCCCTCTCAGCCTGGGTTGCCTCAGACAGGCAGGATCGGAAGCCCGCCTTATATTTGTCTTAATTGTGTTTCGATTGGGGCATAAAAAACAGCTACTTTTTTAAAACAAAAGCGAAAAAACCTTTCTCCGAGAAGAGTATTGTCCTTTGGGTGGCTTTACGGCATTGTTTCTCTCTTCAATAATAATAATGAATAATAATAAAATAATAAATTACACTTTTTATTTGTCCCAGAAGGGCACTTTGTTTTACAATGGCAAACATACATGCATAAATACATACATGCATAAATACATAAATACACACTATTACAAGTTGTAATAACTAGAGTCAGCTTCTGCAGTGTAGGACTTGTGAGGGGACATACAACTGAGAGACTTACTAGCTTAGCCTCGAGTGTGTTGGTCCTGTTCTCAATGACCAGTTTTGTTCTAATGACCTTTGAGTAGTTGGTTATGTCTTGTCACAGAGGTTGTGTGTGAGTGTGAGCAGAGTCTTGTCACAGAGGTTGTGTGTGAGTGTGAGCAGAGTCTTGTCACAGAGGTTGTGTGTGAGTGTGAGCAGAGTCTTGTCACAGAGGTTGTGTGTGAGTGTGAGCAGAGTCTTGTCACAGAGATAGTGTGTGAGTGTGAGCAGAGTCTTGTCACAGAGGTTGTATGTGAGTGTGAGCAAAGTATTGTCACAGAGGTAGTGTGTGAGTGTGAGCAGGGTCTTGTCACAGAGGTAGTGTGTGGTGAGTGTGAGCAGAGTCTTGTCACAGAGGTTGTGTGTGAGTGTGAGCAGTCTTGTCACAGAGGTTGTGTGTGGTGAGTGTGAGCAGAGTCTTGTCACAGAGGCTGTGTGTGAGTGTGAGCAGTCTTGTCACAGAGGTAGTGTGTGAGTGTGAGCAGATAGTTTTGAGCTATTGTTACAGAAAGAGAAGAAAATACTTATGCCAGACCACTTGACTTTTACGAGTGGAAAAGACCGTTTTTTGTCTCTGATATTTTTTTACTATATAGGATACTTGACCTTGTTGGTTATGTATGTACTAAATTTCTAATACATTATTTTTATTAAAACACAATACTAGAAAAATGAGCGAAGTTTCCATCTTATTCTGATCGTTTTGATATTGTAATGACAACTGTTTCTTTTAAATCTCACTCCTTCTATACAGGACAACAGCTGATCTGGCACTTACATTGATCCATGCTCATGGTCTCACTGTTCACTAGATATTTCACACAATCCTTTCAATGCTTGTGAAACGTTTATAAATGCAGTGCAGCCTCTCTATGACGACATCGTGTGGACCAGAAAAAAATGTCGTTATAGAGAGTTGTCGTTATAGAGAGTTGTCATTATAGAGAGGCAACCAAAAATATTACTAATGATTTTTTAAGGAAAAAATCTGGACCTGGGCACCATGTCGCTATACAGAGGATGTCGTTATATCGAAGGTCGTTAAAGAGAGGCTGCACTGTATGGAAAAGAAGCAGGTTAAGTTTTAGCCTTGATTGCTTTATTCTGAATACAGTAATAGATACATTTGATAGAGTCCAAAGTTGGCATCGCTTTTGAATGCAAAGTTTCCACTCAATGTAGGCCTTCCAGTTCCAGGTCTGATTTTGCAATGTTGAGTGACAGACCTAAGCAATTCCACAGCTGAACGTGCTTGTCCCATCAGCTGTTTCAGACACTGTTACCTCAGAACTATTTTCTGTCCCCGTCGTTTTATACAAGAAAAATTCTGAAATTATGCAAACTGAGCCCAAAAATGTGAAATTATGCGATTCTATTAATTTTAACAAAGAATAATAAAGGAAAATAATAAGAAATTATGCCAAAAAATGATCAAATTTTGCTAAATTATGCAGGGTGCATTAAGCCACGGGGACAGTATTTTGTCCAAAGTGCACTGTTTTGTTAAGTACTCTTTAGACAAAATAGTTCTGAGGCGATGACTAGTTGATAGAATAAGTGAGCGTGAAGGGGGCCCAGATATCAATACAAAAGGCGGTGATAGATAGGGAGGATGATCCGACAGTTTCTGCAAGCACTAGCTAGCCTACTCTGACAATAGTGACAAATCAGGACTGGGATGCTCAACTCAACACTCAACAATATCTCTGCATCTTAAGTTCAAATTTGGACAGTACATTGTATCATGCATACTACACAACCCTTTAGTGCAGTACTCACGGAATGGAGGTGAAGAAAGTGCTTGGCATTGATTTGTTGTTGTTTTTTCATTTCGTCAACTCTGCCAAATGATGAACGAAACCCTGACTTTGGACTTGCTGTCATGAAATGAACTACTTTATTATTTAACAGTAACACAAACACATAAAACATTGGTCTCGATGTTGAAAATTTGCTTGAATTTTACCGAGAGAGCTCCACCAAATGACTAAATGATGGATAAGCTACAGTCCATGCCGGCTTTAAGCACGGTCATCGGGAGAAAGCTTAAGCGTGCTTAAAGCCGAAGCGTGCTTAAGTTTGCTCCACCCTACCCATGCGACCAGGCGCCTGAGAGTGTGCTGATACGACCTGAACCCACATACGAGTGCCTTCATGAAAACTGCTACAGCTTTAATAACAGCTCTTGGGTAAAACCAATGACCACTCATAGTGTTTGGAAATGGATAGTCTACTAGGAATCTAAGATAGAAATCCCCCATGCTGT